GGGGAGAGGGGTGGCCAGGCTCCGGAGCTGGGCGGGGTGGGGGAAGGCCCAGGGTGGGCTCTGGGCAGAGGAAGGAGCGGTCGGGGCCAGGTCTGCTCTCCTGGTTGAGTCCTGCAGAGGGATCTGGGGTGTTTGCTGGGGGGGCTGTACCTCCCTCGTGCCGTCCTCGTCGGCCGTGAGCCCCCGTGCGGGCAAGAGCCAGGGTCAGAGCCCCTGCAGAGAATCCGCCTATTCTCCTCTGCTTACCCCAGGCAGATTCCCATCCTTCCGGAAACACAAGCCACCATCATCCATAATTCATCAGGTGCTGAACTTCATCAAGGAGCCACCTGACACCCGGGCTGGGTGCTCCACCCTCCTCCGGGGTGGGAAGGCGCCGGTCCAGGCGGCCGAGGGGCAGGAAGCGCGTCCGGTCTCCTCGGCCTGGGGCGGCGATCCTTCTGTCGGAGGAGATGGGTTCAACAAGGGCTCTGGTGTCTCTGCTTCCCCTTTTCATAAATAAACATCTGCTTCTCATCCCTCCGGGAAGTTTAAGCCATTGTAGAGCCAAATATAAAACCGAAACAGTGTTTTTAAGTAGCGATGAGCGGATTGCTCCGTTACCGTTCACCGAGGCATCCACAATCACACACAGAACACCCTTCAAATAAAACATTGTGGGTCAATGACTTTAATGCTTGAAATGTGCATCGGAGGTGTGTGTGTGGCAGAAGCTATGCAGGATTCAGGCTAGGCTCTCTGCCTGCACACTGGGAAATCCTGCAGAATACAGAATCATCCCCTCCAATTTATAGCTTGCTCACCAAATCCTGTCAGATCTTTTACGTGCCAAAAAGAATCTGTCTGACTTTTTCCAGCACAAACCCAGACGAAATGGCAATTCTTTTTTTACCTGTCTTAAATCCTCACAATCTGTGTGAGCAAGCTCTCCTGTATAAAGATAGCAAGAGGATGAAAACCAGCAGCAGCATTCCCAGCCACACCTTCCCACCGTTAGTGGTACAGCAACTGCATGACAAGTAACAGGACACAGACGCAAGTGGCGGAGAGAGGCATGTGCTGCTCCACAGCATCACAGTCCTGCCAAGCTCCTTTCTCTGCAGAGAGCCGGCGTGCCCTGGCAGCACAGCTCCACCGCCTCTTACTTGCCAGATGCTTACTAGGGAGGGAGAGCGATACAGAACTTGCATTTATTTCCACTCTGCAAAGGGGTAAATGTAAGAGCACAAGGACAGAACCTCTGACTTCCACCCTTAAACAGAGGGACCAGATCCTCTGCAAACCAAACTCTGCTGAAATCTAATGGTGTCTGGTCACTGGTCAGAAGCTTGGGCCAACATTCCTTATCTTGGGCAGAACAGTTTGCCTTATGCCACAGTGTCTCCAGTTCTTACTGGAATTAAAGATCTCCTTGCCTGGCAGAGCGGGCTGGGGCTCCCAGCCTGCCCCTTGAGGTAACCAGGAGTCAGCGGGGATGAGACTTTCTGCTCACCACTCTCCCCCCCCCCGCAGGCTCAGCGTATTATGATAACGTCCGTCCCTTGGCCTACCCGGACTCAGACGCTGTGCTCATCTGCTTTGACATCAGCCGCCCGGAGACCCTGGACAGCGTGCTCAAGAAGGTGAGTGCCCGGCGCGTTGTGGCAGCGCGGTGGCTCCTCTGCGGTTGCCCTGGGGCTGCAACCAGGGCTGAACCCTCCAGCCCTGTGGCCAAGCCCTGGCTGGAGTTTGCGTGTCAGATGAGGATGGTCGGCTGCGGCCGACCCCTGCGTGGTCTGCGCAGAAAGCAAGATGTTTCCATTTGAAAGGAGCCCACTGAATGGTGTAGCTCATGGTAGCTTGCAGCATGTGTGGGGAGTCTGTGTGTATGCACACATACAAATGTGGCGACAGAGAGAAATGTAGAGCATTCATTCTCTTTTTCATTAAGACCTTGGACAGCGTGGTGCATCTCTCCTTAGCGTAACCACCAGGGACTGCGCTGTTCTTGCAGTGGTTGGGAAGGGGCCCCTGGTGCCTATTTCCATGCAAGTAGAGAGCTCAGTTTTTTGGCTGTCCTCTCAGTTCAGCATCTGCACATTAAGAAAGACAGAAATCAGTTCCCTATAGCTTGACAACAAGAATAATGAGCTGTGGCACTGAATTTTAAGTCCATGAATGAATAAAACGAGATGGCACGGTGCCACTGGACTGGATAGCATGCAGGGCCCTGAACGCCTGCCCTGGCAGAGCTGCCCGGCCACGCTCTGTTAGCAGCCAGGAGTTTTCTACCTGCAGGTCAGCGCCTTTCAGCTAAGCAGGTGTTTCCACCTGCCAGGTCTGGCAGGTCCTGGGGAGCCCCACAGGGCTGGGGATTCACTCTGGGGCACGCTGCCTGCACAGCAGGTCCCTGCCCGCCGCGCTCCAGGGGCACCCAGGGAGAGGTTCCCACGCGAGGCTTTGCTCCGAGGTGCCACGCAGTCCAGCACCTCCGGATGCAGCTCAGCGGAGAGGCTGAATGGCCTCCTGGCACTCGCATCCCTTGGTCCTGGCCGTTCCCTGCCGCCTCCCGTGAAATTCGGGAGCTGTGGTTTCAGGGAGCTCCCCGCCGTGCTGCACCCTGTCCCAGCGGCGAGCCTCGCCTGGCGTCTCGTTTGTGAAGCTCTGAGCCACCGAGGCGTGGAAGGCTCTGCAGAGCAGATCCTCCCCGGGAGCCCCAGGCTGCCAGGGCTGGACTGGCCATGGTCTGAACAAGCTGCATTGTACTGCCTGCCCTCTTGGCCTCTCCACATTTTGCCAAACGTGCTGAAGCAAGTGCCTCTTACTCAGCTGCTGGGAGGGCTGAGACGTGGGTCTGTGCCTCAGAAGGGTCCTGGTGAGGGGACAAAGACCCTTCAGAGAAGTTGGTCAATGGCGCAGTGTTCGCTTCCAAGGCAGCTCCCGGGTACCAAGTGTGCTGGGTGGAGGGAGGCGTGTTTCATGGGGACTGAAAGAGTTCTCTGCTCAGCTTGGGAGTCAGCAGAATAATAATGCAAGCAAATCACTTATACCTTAATGAGATGCAAACCCATCAATAATTAGCCAGGGTTGGGATTTATTTATGTGTCTCCGCACGCTCTTCATGTGAGTCCGCACTGCTCAGTGCACGGTCTTCCCTGCGCAGCCTCGCAGATGCTCTGAGTGCTGTTAGGCAATGTCTGTTTGATATGGTGACTTAAAATAAACCCTAAATCACAGGGGATTTCTTAAGTGCCTCCGAGTAGATGCCTTGTTTCCTTTGGTGCAGGCTTGCAGCCTATGGAGGTGAGGAAAATTGCTAAGACACCATGAAGTTGAAATGGGTTTTAGCTTTTGATATCAGCTGAATAAGGAAAATAACACTCCCTGTTCAAGCCTCAGGCAAAAATGCTAGTTCAGCAAAGGAAATTATTGTTGCTGCCCTTTGGATGCCTGGACTGCCTGTAAAGTGTGTACAGTTGAAGGGAAGGAGCTGTCTGAGAGAATGCAAACAAGCAACTCTTCATTTCATACCAAGCAGGTTTTTGTGGGGTGGTGCCTTCATTCTGACAATTCTTGGTAGCGCAGCAAATCTGAGGCTCCTCAAGACATCAGTCATGTGAGAAAAGGGTCGCACCTCTCTCCACAGGCAGGGGAGCCCCGTGGCATTACAGATAACCGTGACCTCTGCCTGGTAGGACCAGACCCTATAGCTCAATCCCTTCGAGAATTTTCATCCTTCAGGTAAATTAGGGTGTTTCAATTCCAGCTCCAAAAGAGCTGCATCATCATCCTCTGGTGGGTGTGTTAGCCCTTGGTGCTGTGCAGCTGTGACACCAGAAATCTCCCAGAACAGGGCTGTGGGCTTCGTTTTCTTTGCCCTTCTAATTGCCTAAGGGATGCGCTTAACCATCAGTTAGCATAGCAGGAAATTGCTAATTCCAAGTGACATCTTTGCCTGGGTAATCTCTTTATTATCTGCCCCCGACTTCAGAAACACTGGACAAGTAACAAGGGTGCTGACACGCTGATGGGGCTGTACAGGTCTCCCCTAGGGGAGGTCACAGGTGATGGTTTTATTTACTGCTGTGGACACTTGGCTGCACATTGGGCATTCATTTCTGGAGCTCTGAAAGGGACCATTAGTGCGAAGAGGGTAGATGCTTGCCCTGGCCTCCTTCCATTCCTTCAGTTCTTTATTTCCCTGGCTGTAGCTCTGCTCTGAATATCTTAATGTCTTTAACATGTGGCTCCCAATAATAAACAAGTAATGAGTATGTTGTGCAAAGAGCTCCCTGCTGACCGCGGTTCAAAAGGTCCAGCGAGGCTGACCTTCCGAGTCCCAGATCTGTGCCCCAGACTGTGTGGTCATTAATTTTCCACAGTCATACCCACGAGGATGTCCCATGGCCTCTTGCAGGGGACTCCAGCTTAAACAGGTTTGCAGGGCATATCTGGAACAAGTGAGCATAGTTACCTGAGAGGCACTCTGAGCATTCCCATCCTTGCCTGGGGCATCATTAAAGTGCCCCGATGAGCTAATCAGTCTCTGCACAGCTGTGACCCCTGTTTGGAAAAGCCACACACACCACAGTCCCTGGTCTTGGCCTCTGAAGTCTGCTTTCCAAACCTGATCCCATTAGAGCCTCATGTTATATTCAGAACACCAAAAGCTGCCTGTCCCCGTGTGTCCTGTCCTCAGCACAGTCTCCAGAGCTGCTCCCGCCTGTGTCCCCACTGAGAGCCCCCCCTGGCCATGGTGACCACCACTGCCCGCACCCCTTCCCCTCATCCTGAAATATGAGTCTACAGGCTGCAGCGGGGCCAAAACCAGCCTCGGTGCTGGCACCAGGCTCTGCAGCTTTGAGGCAAGAGACCTAAAAGTGGCATTGCAGTGGCTACCAGTAGCTGTTCTGGTACCCTGACTGGTCCAGGCCAGGGCAGCTTGGCAGTGTGTGCAGGAGGTCAGGGGGTGCCGGGACCCCGGGCCGCCGCAGTCATCCTTGCCCTGCCGCTTGCTGGTGGGAGCAGAAGCTGTGGCCGGCCTGGGGGGCTCTGCCGTGAGGCTCAGCGGCGTTTGCCTGGGTGACGCTGCCCGGTTGGAGCTGATGGCCTGACTCTCCTGGCCTGTCCCCCCTCCAGCGAGTCCTGGGTGGGACTCTTGGCCTGGATGGAGGGGGGTGACTATCTGAGACCCCGGGGTTGCCTTTGTTGTCCCAACCTTGACCCTTTTGCAGGCTGCCTGCTGCCAAAATTAACTTGACGTGGAGGTGCCGCTGGGCCTCTTGAAGTGTCTCGTACACCAGCAGCCCCTGAGCACCTTCTCCCTTTGTCTCCTCCACAGTGGCAAGGGGAGACGCAGGAGTTCTGCCCCAACGCGAAGATTGTGCTGGTTGGCTGCAAGCTGGACATGCGGACAGACCTGAACACGCTCCGGGAGCTTTCCAAACAGCGCCTCATCCCTGTGACGCACGAGCAGGTGTGTTTCAGCAGCCGTCCCCGCAGGGCCTGGGGAGGGGAGGTGGGGGCTTTTCTGCAGCACCCACTAGTACAAGGAAGCTCAGCACCAAGTGACCCGCTGTGCCCAGGTCTTGGTCTGAAGCTGGTTTGATCTTGGCTCATGGACTCCGAGCTGCTCATGCTCTTTTCCCCAGCTCTGGCAGACCCTGCCCTGATGCTCTGGTGAACAGCCTCCTGGTTAGTAGCTCAAAAGTCTTTCCTCAAAGGTGGTGGAGATCCTGATTTGACAAGTTGGACTGGAAAAAGGCGAGTGTTGTGCTTCTGCATTTCCTAGTTCAGTGCAGGTCTCTGTGCTGAGTGACTCTCCTGCTCAGGTTCTGGGGCAACACTGCCGGGGGGGGACAAGCCACAGCTGGGGGGTCTGAGGGTCTGCTGCCAGGCTGCTGCAGCCCCTCCGGGACGGCCCAGGGGCCCCGTCTCGGTGGCCCAGTGCAGGGTTGCTCTGTGCCTGGCTCGGCGTGGGCAGAGCAGGTCCCAGATGACTGTCCCGGTGAGAGGGGCCGCCGGGGCCCTCGGCCGTAGAGCTGGCACCGTGTCACTGGGAAGGTGTGACTGATTCAGGGTCCCGCGCCCGGCAGCACCGTCTGCCTGGGAGGCCACCCTCACGTCTGGTGCTCTCACAGACGCCTGCACTTTGTTTATAGAGGTGATGAGTAAACGTTGTGAGAGAGACGGTCTCTGATGGGGCTGCCAGCACAGGCAGGGCTGATGGTGATGTGAAAGGCTGCTCCTTGCAGAGCTCCGGTTTCTTAACCTTCTTCCCTTTTCCTCCCCCTCTCTCTGCACCACAGGGCAGCGCGCTGGCACGGCAGATTGGGGCAGTGGCCTACGCCGAGTGCTCCTCCAAGGTCTCGGAGAACAGCGTACGGGATGTGTTTCACGTGACCACACTTGCCTCGGTCAACAGGGTGCACAAGAACTTGAAGCGCAGCAACTCCAAACGGGGACTGAAGCGGGCGTCACAGATGCCTGGCAGGACGGACTTACTGAATGACACAGAGATCAGGAAAGACCGAGCCAAGAGCTGCTCCATCATGTGAAAAACAGGCTGTAAATAATGTGTGTGTGTTGTCCATTTTGTACAGTAACTGGCTGAGACAAGGGCATGGTGCTGGCTGCGGGAGCCAGCCTGCCTTTCCAAAGCCTTTCTCTCAGTCTCTAGGGCTGAGCAAAGGTCTCAGCTGCAAACCAGGGTGCACGAGTTGCCCCCCACCGTGGAGACTTCTGGGTTGGCTGCTGCTGTGCGGATTGCTTGGGATGAAGGAACCACTTGGCAGAGGAGCGTTCAGGTGCTGGAAGGTCTGTGACTGGGTGAAACAAAGCAAAAGGGAGAGAGCCTGTGCGTGTGCCACCTTCCCGTACCTGCGGCCCAGCTGCTGTCCTGGGCAGCTGTGCAGCACGTGCAGCTCTGTGGGACCTGGGCGGGAGGGCGGGAGGGGCTGCAGTTGCGAGCAGCAGAGTGCCATCAGGAGAAGGTATTCTTCCAGTCTTCGTTTAGAAGAGAAATTGTTTGAGTGGTGCTGCCTTCAGCTGGGCTGGACAGCACATTGCCATGGAAGGTCTGGGCCAGAGCTGGGAGGGAAGGAACCTCAACCTGTTCAGACACCACGGTAGTTCACCTCCTGCGAAGAAAACACATAGGTGGCTCTTTACATGGTACTTTAGATACTTGAACTCCTTTTGAAATGCGGCAGAGTGGCTCTGGCTCCAAGGGAGAGGTCTGTCCTGGTAGATGCATCCTGAGAATTGTGGTTCCCTTCAGCAAGCAAATGCCACTTGGGAGCTTGTGTCCCAGGTGCTGACAGCCTGGTCCCTCATCAGACTGCTCCCTGCCACCGGCAGCTGCGTTTCTGAGGCACACTGCTTCCGAAAGAGCAGACTGCAATAACTGTCCGTATCCTCCCCTCCACCCATTTCCAGCTGCCGATTGTGTTGCATGGTGCTGTGTTTGTCTGGTACAGGTAACCAAAAAGATTGTAAGCCTCTCTGCACCCTGTCTCCACTGTGGCAGCGAGAGGGAAGGTGCTCCCTGCGCTTCTTGCCTCGCTGTGCAGCCTCCTCCCGACACCTCTCATTGCTTCTGCTGCTGCCCTCTCTAAATGCCTTTGACTACAGTGTTAGCCTTGACTTCATGTCACATAGACACTTTAAGGAAAAAAGAATCTGCTCCATTGCCAGATCCAGCTGTGTCAGTGGGCTACAGAAAACAAATAAACATCATTGGAAAATGCGTAGTGCCTGACTCTGTTCATTTTTAACAGTCAAACCAGGCATCCTCTCAAAATGTCTTCGTACTGCCTAACTTCGATTTGTGTCCTAATGTCACTCTCTAGCTCTTGAAACGCACTTGAGTGAAAAACGCAGAGGATTAGCTGCATGTATTCATTCTGGAGCTGAAACACCTGCTTGAATAACCTCTCATTCCATCCTGAATCCTTAAACACGGTGGAGCATTTGCAGGTTGTCTGTGCCCGAGGCACCAGGCTGAGCTGACATGAGCTGCCCCGGTCCTCGCTGTCAGCACCTGCAAGTGAAAACAGCTTTTGACTTGGTAGTTTGTGTCTACTCTCCCACCCAGGCCTTAGGCTTCAGCTGCATCGTGAAGGTTATTTGGGGAACTGGAGCAGCCAAGTTACCAGCACAAGAAAAGCTCAGGCAATGACTGGATGCTGTTGTGCTGGGTGCAGGTTGCCAGAGCATGAAAATGCCCATCTGCAGTCTGGGAGGAAAGGGACTGGGCAAGGCACCACGCCAAGAACAGCCTTCAGCATCACAATGCTTTTCTCTCCCTCTGCAGGGTCCCCAGAGCCTTTGCAAACATTAGTGAGCAAAACCATGTCCCTGCTTGAACAGCAGCAGCCAGTGGCTCACAAGTGTCACTACCCAGTCCTCTTACCCCGCTTGCGTCTGTTCTCATCATCCTGTAATGCGATCGCTCTGTCTGCCTTCTACGTAAGCACAGCAGTATTTGGCAAGCACATCCTTCTCTCTCTATCATCTAGCATCTTTTAGGCTTTTGAATTTAATCTGGCAGTCTCTATAAAATGGAGTTTCTAGTCCGCTGATTAAACTGCCAGAGGCTCTACATTAACCCTTAGCTCACCCTGTAAGCAAATCTCCCGTAGCGGGCAGCAGTTGCCAGACCTGAGCTGTGCCAACAGCGGCAGATGAAGGAACAGGCTGTGGTGGCCATAAGCCCCCCCGGGGTGTCAGCTGGGTGCCTGTTCCCCTCCAACCCCTGCAGAGGTCTGGAGACCTGCAGGAAACCCAGCAAAGCCTGCAGAGGCCCTGCGGCTGGCTGTGGAGTAAGCAGGAGGGGCCGTGGCTGAGGCCTCACAGACTGGGCAGACTGGTCTGGCCAGAGCCAGAATCCCCCCTGCCCACACGGCAGGACCCGGCCAGGGGCTGCGGCAGCACCCTCCTCCCTCCCTCCCCGCAGATCTGCTCCCAAGGGTGCCCCGCGCCCGTTTGCGTGGAGCTGGTGCTCGGTGGGGCGGGCTGGAGCCCGGCAGCCCCGTGGTTCTGTGCTGCTCTCCTGGGGCGCTGGTGCCGGGTATTGGCCCCAGGGGCGCTGGCTGATGCCCGCAGCCGTGCTTCCCTTGCTGCTGCTGCTGCTGGAGGTTTTATTTTTGGACACGGAACTTCCCGGGCTCTTGCTGCTCAAAGGGGCCTCGGGAGTGGATTGTGGCAGCATAAAGACGAATGTCCCAGCAGCAGCTCTGGAAGAACCAGTCAGAATTAACAGCAACCAAAACCTCGTAAGAGACTAAGGCGAGTGAAACAGCCTCCAATTCCATTTATCATGAAATAGCTGAGCTGGCTCCTTGGGTGGGGTGAAGTAAAGATGTCAAAACCCATGGGGCTAAGCTCTTACAGCCTCAGTTTCCATCAGCAGGCGCCTTTCCTGCAGGCACACGAGCATTCCTGCAGCTCTTCGAGGCCCAGGTACAGCACCCAGGACAGCCCAAGGTGTCTGACCTCTAAGGAAGGGGTTTGCAGGAGGCCGGAGCGTTGCAGTCCTGCTGTGTCAGTGCATTTACTACATCCACCTGCCTCTGCACGGTGCCCAGCACCTCTCCGAACACTCGGGGCGTTTGCCCTGTGCTGCTGGGAGCATCTTCACAGGGGACCGAGGCTTTCCTCCTGCCTGCCTCAGCGGGGACAGCCTCACACAGCGCAGCCGAGAGACGTGGAGGAGCGAGAGGCTGCGGCTGGGAAACCCAGAGAAGGCTCCTACAGCCCAAGGATTCCTGGTGACATGGGCACTGACAGCCACAAGAGAAGAGAAGACAAGAGAAGGTGCACCCTGGTCGGTGAGGGGAGCTCCCAAACCGCACTGAGAAGGTGCTGAGCTCAGCTTTTCCCTCTAGAGAAAGCTCGCTGCAGCTCAGGCCAGAGGAGGCAGCTGCACCCGAGGGTGAGTGGTGCCCGGGGAGCAGAGGGCACCCGGGGTCTGTGGTGCCAGTGGCATCCAGACACACGGCTGCGGTGCAGACCTGCTCGCCCCGTCACCCCCCCACCGGGAAGAAGCTGCGAGCACCCGCGGAAACGGTGACGGAAGCCCAGAGAGCCCACGCTGGGGCCGGGGGGTCAAGGTTAACAGGCCCAGGACCAAATGCAAACTGACAGTCATGAAGGGCTGCCCCAGCACACTGGAAATGGGCAGAGACATGTCGGGGTCACTGCTGACAAGCAAAGCTTTATAGATCAAAAGCACAAGGCAGGAAAGAGCCCGACCTCTGTGGATGAGGGACGAGGCTGGGAGGGCAGCGGGCGCTCTCCCACCGCAGCCTGTCGTTTCACAGCCACTGAGAAACGTAGAGGACGAAGGATGCTGATGGTCCTTCCCGCCCAGGAGCAGGCAGTCAGCATTCTGCTGCTACCTCTACAGTGTCTCTAGGGCCTATTTGCCCTTTGAGCAGGAGGGATCAGACAGAAACTGAGGCTCTGTCGGGGCAGTCAGGCAAGAGAGCACTTACAGGGCACTGGCCAGGGAGCCTGAGCCCCTTAACTCCCTCAGCGCGGCTGCTGGCCGCGGGCACCCTGGTCTTAGAGCTCTGCAAAGGTTGTGCAGGCAGGTGCCGCAGTGCGCTAGACTGGACAGAGGGGATTAAGCGTTGTCCACAGAGCGGGGCCCTGAGCGAGGAGTAGCAGCCACAGCACCGCCCCGCCGCAGCCGGAGCAGGGATGGGGACAGGCTGGGCGCGGTGCTGGGGCTCTGGCGGGGAGGGGGATGCGACAAAGGGACAGCATGACACGTCCCAGGGTCTGCTATGAGGGGCCGCAGTGAGGGAGTGGGGCTGCGAGGGGCAGCTTCGCCTCCCCAAAGGCATGAACCCCGCAGCGTTTGCGCAGGGTTTGAGCAGCATTTGCGCAGGGTGTGTGCAGCACGCCAGCCCAAAGCTCCCCTGCAGAGAGGTGTGGCCTCAGCATCACCTGTTCCAGCTTACGGCGCTGTTCCTCCCATCTGAACGTGGTGCTGGTGCCGGCACTTACGCTGCTGTCAACACTAGAGAAAACAAGACAAATGTGTTGATCAAGACTTGCAGGTCAGAAGTAGCGGCCTGCATGAACAAGGTTGGTTACAGTCTGAGGAATCTAGTGCCCCCTCTCACAATACCCCCCACGTAAGGGAAGGAGGACATGCAACTCAAAATTGCCTCCGCGAAGAGGCACCTCTATTATTTGCGGCCCTGCTGCTTTCCACTAGACACAATTCGGGTGCCATCTCCCGGGGCCGTTCAGCGCTCAGCACTGCAGGTGAAGCTGCAGCGCCAGAGCAGCAGCCGGTGGTCGGGGTTGCACAGAAGTGACAGGATCTTTCCTGAAAGTTTCTGGTTTTGAGAATTTGTTTATTTTCTGTACTGAAGGGAAATGTCATTGCTATCCCCGCTCCCCCGTCCTCAGTATAGCTCTAACTAGCTGGAAGCCTGTAGTATGAAAATGATGCTGTTGGAATGAAAGTAATTTGTGCCCAGCTGCTTCTAGAACAGCCAAAAAAAGACCAAAAGGAAAAAACATGTAGCAGCCAAAAAACGTGCATTCTGCCAGAGCGAGCAAGAGCAGAGCTCAGATGCGGCTCCTGCTGGAGCGGAGCTTGACACAGAGATGTACAGCCCACTAGGAGCTAGTGAAAACCAAACTGTGGGTGCTGCCGTGCTGACCTGAACCAAAACGTGCATCTGCCACGCTCACATACAACCCGGACATCAAGGCTTGAAGCTCTTTGAGGGTTTGGGCTTGTGACTTCCGAGTGGGGTTGAATTCTGGGAAAATGAGTGTCCCCGGCCCCTTCTCTCCCCTCCTAAGGGGACTGTGAGGGCTGATCTTTGCCGTCACCATGCAGCTTAATATGCTGGCACTCACTTCTCCACCAGCTTGCTTGACTATAAAGAGTATTTGGACTCCCACAGTGGTTCATTTAACCAGACTTTTCAAAGGAGTCCCTCTCCCTGTCCCCTGCTCTCCTCCTCTACAGAGGAATAAACAAGATAAAACAGGAAGCAAAGAAGCAAAATCAGAAGTAGAGAAAAGTGAAAAAAAAGAAAAAATGTGAAGGAGGAGAGGCACAGACACACAACTGACCAAATAAAACCATTGTTGGGTCCCTACCCCAAACCAATTCAGCAACCTGCCTGGAAGCAGTTTAGGAGATTTTGTTTTTGTATATATAAGGGAGTAGCTGGAAACGTGGACAGTGAAAGCACCGGGGGTGGGGGGTGTTTCCCCCTTCCAGCACGGGAACAGCTCCGAGGAAGCTGCTGAAGTTAATGGCGGTAATTTTGGGGTGAATAAAGACAACACATTTGTGTGCGGGAGGCAGTGGCCCTCGCTACGCAGCAGAGTGCTGGGCACCGTTTCTGTTATAAAGCTCCAGGTGAGTCCGTGGGCGCCGGCAGCCGGGGGTCCCCTGGAGCAGCCGGGGGATCCCCAGGAGCAGCCGGGCGCCCAGCACGAGGTTCAACTCCCGGCTTTCGCGCAGGAGAGGGCCCACGGGCCCAGCCGTGGGGCTGGCGTAGCGCGGGAGGAGGGTCCGGCTGCGGGGAGGGCAGGAACAGGTGGGCACCTCGCGGTCGGGGGGGCGAGCTGAGGAGATGGCACCGAGGCTGCTGCAGCGCCGGCGGAGGGACTCGCGCTCCCCAGAGGAACGACCCAACCACCAAAGGCAGCTGCTGCTCCGACCGAGGGCAGGGAGCGCGTCGGGAGGGCTGGTCCTCGTGGAAGCTGGTGGGGG